GTCAGACTTCCACTTCTTTCGCTCTCTTCAAAACTCCTTGTGTGGTGTTCTGTTCACGTGAGGCTGTAAATCAGCACCTTGTTCAGTTTTTTGCAAATAAAGACAGGTCCTTCTATGAACGAGGAATTATGAAGCTCACTGAAAGATGACAAAAGGTTATTGAACAAAACAGTCAATATATCATTGATTGATTTTTGTTCTTTATATAAATAAATGACCTATGAAAAACATAGACAAAATATGTCATGACTTTTCTGACAGCCCAAATAGTTTCCAGGGGTCACAGCCCACCATTTCATGCGGGAGTCGAACTGGCAGCCTTGTTATTAAGAGCACGTGCTCTAACCAACTGAACCACCCAGGCACCCCCAATAAATAACAGCTTTATTGAGATATAATTCATATATTATAAAATTCACCCTTTTAACGATAGTCACAGAGTTATGCATTGATTATCATTATCAAATTCCAGAATATTTTCATCACTTTAAGAAGAAACTGCATATCCATTAGCAGTCATTCTCCCAGCCTCAGGAAACCACTAAATTTACTTTCTGTTTTTATGGATTTGCGTAGTCTGGATATTCAATATAAATAGTATCTTTCTGGTTCTTAGTGGTTATTTTATATCTTCTTTGGAAATATGTCTATTCAAACCCCCTTTTCAGTTTTTAATTGGTTATCTGCTTTTTTGCTGAATTGTTGGTGTTGTTTATATATTTTGGATACAAGTCTCATTGGACATATGATGTGCAAGTATTTTTTCCTATCCTATCAGTTTTTTAAATTTTTTTATGGTATACATTGAAGCACAAAAGTTTTAAATTTTGATGGAGTCCAGTTGATCTCTTTTTTGGTATCATAGCTAAGAAAACATTGCTTTATTTGGAGAATGTACTGTGTGTGATTTCATTTTTTTTAATGTATTAAGACTGGTTCTGTGGCCTAGCATGTGGTATATCGTGGAGAATGTCCTATGTACTCTTAAAATAATACTATGTATTCTGTTGTTTTGGGGTGAGCATTCTAGAAATTTCAGTTTGATCATATATTCTTTCATAGCGTTTGAGTCATCCTTATCCCTACTGGTTTTCTATTTGTTCTATAAATTTCTGGAGATGAATATTAGATCTCAGAATGTATCAGAATGTATATAATCTGTCCATGTTGGATGGCGTATTTTATAGATGTCTGTTACATCTAGTTGGTTAATGGTGTTGTTCAGTTCTTCTGTCTCCTTGTTGATCTTCTGTCTAGTTCTATCCATTATTGAAAATGGGGTATTAGGGTCTCCAACTTTATTGTTCAGTTGTCTATTTTTTCATTTCTGTCAGTTTTTCTTCATGTATTTTGGTGCTTTCTTGTTAGTTACATATGTGTTTATAATTGTTATATTTTCCTGATGGATTGACCCATTTATCATTATTAAATGTCCCATTTTATTGCTAGTAACTTTTGTTTGTTTGTTTTAAAGTCTGATATTATTATAGCTACCCCAGCTTTCCTGGGGTTGCTTTTTGCATAATAGATCTTTTTCTAGATTTTTATTGTCAATCTGTTTGTGTTTTTGAATCCAAAGTGTGTCTCCTGTAGACAACATATAGTTGGATCATGTTTTTTTTAATCTAGTCTGACAACCTCTGCCTTTTGATTGGATTGTTTAAACCAGTCACATTTAATGGTATTGATATAGTTGTATTCACATATGTCATTTTTCTTTTTGTTTTCTGTTTGTCTCCTTTTTTGTTTTCTGTATATCTCATGTTTCTTTTGTTTCTGTATTTATTAGTGCTTTGTTTTGTATTGAGTGTATATTTTCAAATGTAGCACTTTGATTTCATTAATGAATTTTCCAGTTTGTTTGTTTTTTTACTGGTTGTCCCAGGGCTTACCATATATGTCTTATCAGAAGCAGCTTCAGATTTATACTGGCTTAATTCTAAAATTATATAGGATGTTATTCCTGTACAGCTGTATTCTCTTTTCCTTCCTTTAATGGCATAATTGTTATAATATTACATCTATTAATGTTGCAAACCCAACAATATATTGTTCTACTTATTACTCTATTGTCTGTCATCATTTCTTGAGCCTATTACAGCTTTAATTCCACTCACCTACTTCATAGTGTTATTGGCAAATATACTAAACGTACGAGTATATTACATTTTTCTGTTATAGGCCAAACAATACTATATATGTGTGTGTGTCATTATGTAATTGCTTTTTAAATCAGTTAAGAGATGACTGGAAAAAATATGTATTTATAGTGTCCTTTTATAATTACATAATTAATTTTACTGGTGTTCTTTATTCATGTGGACTTGAATTGCCACCATTTACTTTCAGCCTAAAGAGCTTCTTTTGGTATTTCTTCTTTTTTTTTTTTTAAGATTTTTATTTTATTGAGGGATTGTGGAGGAGAGCAGCGTTGGGGAATTGTGGAAGAGGAACACTGTGTTTTTCCAGGGCCCATCCACTCCAAGTCAAGTTGTTGTCCTTCAATCTTACTTGTGGAGGGCGAAAGCTCAGCTCTAAGTCCAGTCACCGCTTTTCAATCTACTTGGGTGGGGGGGCAGGGGGGCGCGTAGTCCACCATCCCATGCGGGAGTCAAAACGGCAGCTTTGCATACTCTCACCAGCTCAGCAGCTGCTCGGCTTGGGTGCAGCTCACTGGCCCATGTGGGAATCGAATCAGCAACCCTGCTGCTCAGAGCTCGCACTCTAACCAACTGAGCCATTCAGCCAGCCCTCCTGTAGTATTTCTTGTAAGGCATGTCTGCTAACAACATACTCTTTCAGTTTTTGTTTACTAGATAAATAAAGTTCTTATTTTGCCTTCATTTTTGAACAATAGCTTTGCTGAATATAAGATTTGGGGTTGACAATTATTTCTTCGTTTGTATTTTTTTTTGAGTGCTCTGAATATATTATCCCACTCCCTTCTGGCCTGTATTGTTTCTGCTGAGAATTTAGCTGTTAATCTTATTGAGGCTCCCTTGTAAGTGACTCATCATTTTTCTCTAGTTGCTTTTATGATTTTCTTCTTGTCTTTGACTTTTAATATATTTGCTATGTTTGTGGGTCTCTACTTGGACTTTGTAGAGTTTCTTGTATGTGCAGGTTTATTGTTTTTCAACAAATTTGGTAAGATTTTAGCCATTTAAAAAAAATTTTTTTGTCCTTTCTCTTCTCTCCTGGTACTCCCCTTACGAGTATATTGTTGTACTTAACAGTATTCTGCTTTTCTGAATTTCTGTTCATTTTTCTTCATTCTTCTCTTTGTTCTTTGGCTTACATAATCTCTACTTTTGTATCTAAGACATGAAACCTATAAGGTAAATAAGGAATATTTCAATAAACTTGTTTAAATAAAGATTTTAAACTTTCATGTAGAAAAATATCATTGTAAACAAAGTAAAAGAACAAACAACAAACTGGGAAAAAGTATTTAAGACACTTTTGACTAGACAGAGGACTAATTTCTTTGATGTGTAAAAAGATTTTACAAATTGATTTTAGAAAAGATAAACAATCACCAGAAAAATAGGCTAATGAAAATTAGGCAGTTGACAGCAGAAGTATAAATAGATAGTAAACATGAAAAGATGCTTATGCTTCTAAAGAAATTCAAAGTAAAATAACTCCAAAATTCCACTTTTCATCTGTTAGCGTGGCAAAGTATTAATGAAGATGTGGGAGGAAATGAGCTTCCCTTATTGTTAGTGCTTTGGAAACAGGTATTGAAATTTAAAATATGCATGCCATTTTATCTAGCAATTCTAAGTATGTAAAGGATATAGGAACTAAACAATATTCATTGCTGCATTATTTATAGAAATAAAACATTAGACGCAACTAAATTTCCATGAATGGAGATCTGATGGACCACCATAAAATGAAAAAACATCCAATTTTCAGAAATAATGAGATGACTCTATATGTAGTGATATACAAAGAATTGTCCCTTTACATAGTATGTCTGATTATGTTTGTGTGTGAATAGAAAATATCGAAGTATATTCACAGTTCTCTGAAATGTAACTATCTTTGAGGAGTAGAATTAATGCAAGGAGGAGAATTGGGGAGCATCCTGTTTCTAAACTGCTTCCTTTTTTTAATAACAAGCATGTGTTAAGTTTATATTTAAAAGAAAATATACATTATGTAATATCTACCAAATTTAGAAATTAAGAATTATATATTTATAAATGAAAGCATTATAGCAAAATTTTTCTGGTTTGGTTTCTGTGTAGACATTTAATATGAACATTAATTAGTTTACAGAAGGTAAAGGGAGTACTCTGGTAGCTAGGGATAATGAATAAATGCATGGTTTTGTTCTTAAGATTTGAAACATCTTTAAAAAATAACCTGGTTGAATGAGTCATGTGTTTTTATACACACACACACACACACACACACACACACACACATACACACACATGCATATGTGTATATATATATGTATATGTGTGTGTGTGTGTATATATATATATATATATATATAGCATATTAAAGTGATTTTATCACTGGGGAAAGAAAAATTTAATCATCCACATCATAATAAAAATGTATTAGTTATTAGCATATTTCATTTAAGATAATATTGGGTCAGGAATAGAAAATTTTTAAATTGCATTGAAGAATACAAAATTTTGAATATGAAAAGAAATAAGACAATTACTTTGAAAGCAATAGATATAAACTGTTTCAATATTTATATCTCAAAGTTATTTATTTACTTAGACTTTTTGTAAGAGTTTATTTGAGCCAAACTGACAACATATGTCAGGGGGCAAGATCTCAAATGCTCCCTCAAAATATTTTTAAAGTCTTTTTCTTTTTATGCAGGTTGTCTTGTAATAAGTATATTTGTTTCATTTTCTTCTGATTTTATAATACTATAATTTTAAATTTATGAAAATTGTGGATTAAAAGTTCTAATCATATGTATATAATAATTTTATTTTACATTATGGAATCAAATTTTATCACAGGTTTCGTCTTGATATATATCGTTGTTTGGCCAGTCCAGCTCTAATAATGTTAACAGAGGAGGATCCAATTCTGAGAGCATTTGAACTTAGTGCTGATTTAAAAGAATTAAGCCTTGTGGAGGTGGAATTCAGGTGGGAATGAATGGAAATTATGAATTATATCTTGTTTTTTTTAAAAAAAGAAATCAGTTCAGCTTGAATTTTTCACAGGCCAAATTATAATTTGTATTTATTTACGTTTGATCCAAGATGACCAGACCTTGCTGCCACCTACTTGGGATTTCCTTCTCCCTCAGTGGAATAGATCCTGGTTCTACTTAGCTCACCCCTTCCCCGTCTGCCCATAAATCCCTGCCTTGTACAGCATTGCAGAGGGACAGCATGAAGAGTAGCGGCGGGGGTGGGAGGTGGGGGGTGGCCTTGAGCAAGAGCAGACTTATTTATAACTGCTGTCTGTCCTACCTCCCCTCATTCTTAGATTCCATAATCATCCTTGGAGTGTGATCCTTCATGACTTTCAGAAGCATGTGGAATGCTTTATGTATGTCAGGGACCTTTCACACACACAGACCCATTCCCTTTTCACTGGTGAGAGTTTCTATTAAGAGAAACATAACATGTAGACAGAAGAATAAAATGCTACTGATCAAGAGGGATGAATATCCAGTCTGAATTTTCTTCTGAAATGAACAGTTAAGTGTAATTCTGGTACTTTGTATACCCAATGAATCACTGTTACCATTTTTCCTTAGAGAGGTAAGTTGGAGGAGAAAAAAGGCTTTGGAAAAAGCAGCCTATTAAACGACTGATTTAAACATTTAAAAAAAAAATCCTCCGAAAATTACATTTGGTAAACTTGAGCAAAAGCTTTGAGACTTCCCCTTGCAAAAGTACCCCAGGGGCCTCCAAAGGAGGAGGAAGTGATCAAGATTTCCTGCCAGTCCCTGCTGTGTGATTTCGGGGTGGGGGACACCTGTCCTCACCTTTCCTTTCATGTCCAGCTAATGTTGGAACCCCGTGTCTTATGTTGCATTCCTCCAGTGCCTTGCTAAGACGGGGAAAATTCAAACTTCTACTCACTAGGAAGGCAGAAAGAAGCCCCCGATTTTCTTTTGCCTTTACAGCAGTATATAGTGTGTTCTTGATAGCTCTGAGTTCTAGAAACTTTTCAAAAATACCAGCTTATAAGTTTTCCAGTATGTAACCACTGTAATTTAATTTGGATAAATTAAGATTTATTTAAACTTGCATTGACAGAGTCTTGGATGGACATATAAGAAAGACATGGTGAAAATGTAACTTGCTGCTACTTTTAACTTTATTAGCACACAAGGCTGTTAATAAATTATTTATTTTAAATATGAAGAACTTTCTATTATAATCTCATAATTGGAGTTCTGAGTTACCATATAAAATAGAATTCATTCAATCCTTCCAAAAAAGATTTTAAGCAACTGCTATGATTGTATCGTAATCATAGACTAATAAAGTTGTCAATAGATTTGGAAGTGATCACAGAATCCATTTCTAGGATCCCTTGTTTTTAGGCAGGAATGTGACCCATGTAGGTTAGAATCTTACTGACACCAGCATCGAACTAGGAACAGAGTTGACACTGAAAGTAGGAGCAGTTGTAACTAGAACACAGGACTCCTTGCTTCTAGTCGGCTACATTTCCATCTGAACTGTAGAGCCATTTGTTAGTTTTCCAGTAATGTATTAGAGAGTAAGAAAGTTATATTTATAAAATGTTTTACTTTTACCTTTGAATCTAGTGATCTTATACTGTTTATCTTTTAAAAATGAGATATCTTTGTAATAATACACACTTTTGATGAATGTTCCCATCTGCAGTTAGATTCCTAGACTAAGAAGCAGGTAACACTTCATTTGTTAAAGAAATACAGCTATTTATTCTTAGGTGTTTAGGTTATGTAGTAAACACAAAGAATGGATGAGAAAAGTGTTAGCCTCTAAGAAATAGTTTTTAATTCTTTGAGTTATAATTTTCTGCAACCAGTTCATGGAAAACCCCATTGTACAGAAAGATTAATCAATGGGAAATCTCCCTATTTTCCCTTAAAAAAAACTGAATAAAAAATTATTTTCTGAAGTCCAATTGACTGATAATTGTTTCTAACATTATTCTTATTGTACTCAATCATAAGTTTAATGTAATTGATATTTTTAAAAATAATTACCTACTGAAACTTAGTTTCTCACAAATTGATTTAGGCCTGCCTTTAATAAGTTAAACCTTAAGTTTCAAGGAGCAGCGATTCTGAAAGAGAATTCTTTACTAGGTATGTTTCAGTATCTTTCTTTCTAACATAAATTTTGTTCAAATGAACACTTTAAAAATGAATCAGAAGGGCCGGCTGAGTGGCTCAGTTGGTTAAGAGCTCGCTCAAGAGTTTGAGCTCTGAGGAACAGTGGTTCGAGTCCTGGCCTGAGCTGAGCAGCTGCTGAGCTGCTAACAGGTGGCAGGATGGCTCAGCTTAAAAAAAAAAAAAAAAGGAATCAGAATACTATTTTAATATCTGAAGTAGCATAAACATATGAGTATTTAAGACTATTATTGAAAAAACTTTTAGTTAAAAACTCTATAATAATATTTACTGGACAGCATTAAGATATTATCATCTATTGTTTAGATAAGTAATATAAAAGTATGTTTTCTACCAAACTTACAGAGAATAAGGGCAAAGGAGTTAAGTGAAAAACTGGTTGACAAATATCAGAATTTCTAGGAATGTCAGTATAAGGAAACATTGTGCTCGTCTGATTATCGGTGTGAATATTGAATGTAATTGTGTTACAGTTTTCCAAAGCTATGGAGAATTAATACACCAGTAGTTTCCTTTGATGTCAGCACAGAGTGACTTCAGGTTTTGTGTACCACTGTCAGAACTAAAATATTACTGAGTAGACATTTTCTAGTGAAAATAGCTTACTTAGAAGATGGAAGTGACATTTCTAATAATTGACTGTTGCGTTTTGCAGGAGTGATTATGAGGAACTAGCCCGGCAGTGTAAAATGTTTGCTAAAGATTTGCTTGCACAAGCCCGAAATTCACGGGAACTGGAAGTCATTCTAAACCATACATCTAGTGATGAGCCCCTGGACAAACGGGGATTACTAGAAGAAAGAATGAATTTGAGTCGTCTCAAACTTGCTATCAAATATAACCAAAAGGAGGTATGAAGTTTTCTGTGATGTACCGTATTTCCCCAAAGACGCACCCTTTTTCGAAAAATTTGGGCTCCAAAACCTGGGTGCTTCTTCTACAGTGGTTGTAGATTGTTGTCAAGTCATTTAAGAAGTGTGGCATTTCAAATGCCATAGATGGAACTGAGGACGAGGCAATATATGAAGACAGTGATTCGTCATCAGACACAGATGAGGACAAGCTAATGGTTGGGAGTTTTGACAGTGATGAGGAGTTGTATGAATTTTATGATGAATAAAACTTGAGTTCAATATCTTTATGTAATACATTTTTTTTCAAATTTCGGGCACCAAAATTAAGGTGCGTCTTATACATGGGAGCATCTTATACATGGGGAAATATGGTATTTAAATTATTTCCTCCACAGTCGTCTGATGGCTTTGGAGCACACATCTAGCTTGAGATCCTAGCTCTGCTTCGTAAAAACTGTGTACCTTGGAAAGTTATTGAATCCGGCTGAACTTCATTTTAAGAGTTAACTCAGGATATATATTTAAAGAGTTTAGTATAATAAATACTAACATTAAGTATTCAGTGGTGGTTGCTATTATTTTTAACAATATTATAATAATAATAGAGATGTTAATGTTTTTACAGAATAGTGGCTATATAGATAAGATCTGATGACTTCATAAGGAAGTTTCCATCTTGCATTTTGTCATAGTTTGTTTTCTTTATCTGGTAATAATAGCGCTTTCTATAGTAACAGTGCCCTTTTGTTTAAAAATAGGTTATCCAATACTATGTTTCCTAATTCGTATTTGTTCTTTCGTTTTGAAACCCTAAGTCAGAGAGGCTCATGATGTGATAATGGAGTAGAATCCAGCTCTTCCTGGCATCGTGATTCTGTAGCTAAATACAGTTTGTAGAGTGAGAAGCCTTGAGGGCTTGAGCAGAGCCTGCGTAGAGCCTGCCTGAAGCCTGCCCTTCCACACAGCAAGGCGGCCTCAGGGTAGCAGAACTCACATGGCGACCTATGGCTCCTACAGCAAGTGGTCCTCAGAGTGGGAGCTACAGAGCCTTTTACGAGCGACCTTTAGAAGTCACATAGCATCACTTCTTCCAGAACCTACTGGTTGAAGCAGTCATAAGCTTACTGAAGGGAAACATAGGGAACATTGATAGCCCACCCCTTAAAGTATCAAAAAATTTCTGTCTACGTTTTAAATCCACCACAGACTTAGAACTTTTCCAGTTACACAGTTGTGTGACTGTTAATGAAATCATCCTTATATAGAGTATGGCAAGGGCAGCTAACAGTCCTGAGATTGCTTGGATACTTGGGGGAGGGATAAAACCACTAAGTGTGGGATGCCACTAAATTGGGTAATTGGTTGGAGAAAAGACTATTTCTGTCTCCAGTACTTCATCTTGAAGGACAAATTAGGATTCCCTGAGAACACCTGAATCTGAGCAGAAGAATAAAGAATGAAGTAAGACTTAAGTGTAAGAAAAGTAAAGCATATTAGGAAGTTTCTTGATAAGCACAATAAACAACAACAGAAACGTTTTTCGCTAGTGTTACATTCTACAAATTACATTCTACAAATTATATTTATCTCAGGATAAATCATTTTGAAACAGAAGAGTGACCAAATATTATTCAGGTACCTGAATGATACCGTGATCACTTATGCTTTACTTAAGGCTTTCACGCCTGATCACTTCATTGTGTCCAGAGTTACCAGAATCCTTATGTTCACTTCACAGTGTGAGCATTATACATATTGGGAAAATACTGCTTCTGGAATTTGTAAACCAAGAAGCTTTGTAAACTTTGGTGAATTAATGTCTATACTTGAACTAGAATGTCCTTCTTATCTGGTAATATTTTTCCTTTTCTCGCACAGAATTCAGTTTTAAGCAGATTTAAGAGTATCTTTAGTGCATTTTAAATTCTCAGTGTTTCCGTGGATCATGAATATGTCTGATGTTTATACTTTGCTTTTCTATGATTGCTTTGCTATCTTGGCATCTTGGGTTCTTGTAACTGAGATCGTTAGTTTTGTAGACTGAAGTCTCTGTGGATTGTGCTTGTTAACTTTGAAATTTTATAAACATTATTAGGAGTCTTTATAAATTGAATGTTGCGAAATGGCTAAGTAGACTAGTGATAATCACTGATACTCAGTAGTGCCTGCTCCGAACCAGGCACTGTTCTAGAAGCTTTACATTCACTCCTATAACAGGTTTATGAAGTAAATACTATTATTATCCCCATTTTACAGACAGGAAATTTGAGGATTAGAGAAATTTAAAAACTTGTTCAAGGTCATTTAATTAATGGCAGAGCCTAGATTTGGATCTAGGTAACCTGGCTCCAGAATCTATGCTCTTAACCTCTGCAGTCTTTATTATGTGTAAGAAAAAAACAAGCTATGTGGACTGTGTAAAACTGGTTTTAAACTCTTATTGTGCTCTCTTGAGCAGCACATATGCTAAAACTGGAATGATACAGAGAGGATTAGCCTGGCCCTGCACAAGGGTGCCACACAAACTCATGAAGCTTTCCATATTTTTTAGAAAAATAAAGGAAACAGTAGTAAAACTTTGAATATCAGTTAAATAATCATATTATCAGATCCTATTTACAGTTTTTATTTTACGTTTTTCTGTGTGTGTGTGCTCCCCCTCAGTTTGTCTCCCAGTCTAACTGCCAGCAGTTCCTGAACACTGTTTGGTTTGGACAGATGTCAGGTTACCGACGGAAGCCCACCTGTAAGAAGATAATAACTGTTTTAACAGTTGGCATCTTTTGGCCAGTGTTGTCATTGTGCTACTTGATCGCTCCCAAATCTCAGTTTGGCAGAATCATTCACACACCTTTTATGAAATTTATTATCCATGGAGCGTCATATTTCACATTCCTGCTGTTACTAAACCTATACTCTCTTGTCTACAATGAAGATAAGAAAAACACAATGGGGCCAGCCCTTGAAAGAATAGACTATCTTCTCATACTCTGGATTATTGGTAAGTATCAACTTCGTTTGAAAGGTGCTGTCTTTATTCGGCCCATGCATTCTCCCTTGCTTGGTGGAGTTATAAACATCTGTGTTCAGTTTGTAATTTTATACTGTTTACACAGCAGGAATTTGAGCACTTCCATGATCACTGAAGACTGAACTAACATTTTTGTCAAGATAATGTTCCTGAACTCAATGATAAGGAAACAGAGCCCTTAGTTAATATTTTATTTAATTACGTGGAAGTTAAATGTTTTTTTGTTGTTTTTTTGGGGGGGGGGAATTGGGGGGATGGGAACAGTGCTGGGGAATTGGGGAAAGGGGAACAGACAAGTTGCTGTCGTTTTTTTGTTCTTCAATCTAGTTGTGGAG